TTTTTTAAGAGGTATAGGTCAGATAATAAGGTTTTTTCTTCATCAAATAAATTTATTTTAAACAAATTTTGCTTTTATTTAAATTTGTCCACAGATAAGGAAATAAATCCCAACCAAGTTGGATTTTTTTTATTCAAATACATTATCGTTTGTCGAGAATTAGCATAAATTTTCATATTGTATTCTTTCCTTCGCCTCATCTCTTTTGTGCACCCTTTTGTATATAAATTTTTGATGCGTTGGCGCCGAGATGAAATATTTTTTATTAATGCACGCGAGGGACGAGAGAGATGATTAATTACGTACGGGCGATATATCGAGGGCCCGTGCGTGTTTGACAGGTAAATTATTCACGTGTGTATCAAAATAGCTTTTTGTTTGTCCATTTCCAATCGGCCGCGATCCATCACCGCCATAATTCACCTGTCACTCGAAATTTTTCTCCTAAATTTGTCCCTCTCTGGAACGTTTGCGCACATTATACATAAAAATAATAAAAAGCGCGGTCGGGTTGACTTTTATTGTGGCTGCAGCAGCGTCTCTTGATTTCTTGATTTAGCTCCATGCTCGGCGCTCGCTCGCTTCTTTCTTCTATCCACCCACTCAGACAAAATATCTTTCTCTCCCCATCTCGCGCGCGCGCATAAATTTTTTCACCATACCTCGAGAGTATAAATTTGGGACCATATAGTCTAAAGGTATGGAATGCGGGAATGAGTAATGAAACAACGCGAGTCCCACCGCCGGCCGAGCCACCGACCGCCGCCGCGGGGGTTCCCACCGAAAATTATTCCCGAAAATCTGGCGAGAAAAATTAATTCAGACCTTAATGCACCACTTATTTATTTCCATCACTCTCAATCCTACAGATTTAACCATTCTTGTTACTTACTTAAATTTTATTTTTTAATAAATTCGTATTTTATAAAAAGAGATCTTATTTAATTATTTAAAATTTGTTAAGTTTGCGAAAAATAATTACTGAAAAATTATAGTTAAAAATTAATACAGTATTTCAAATTCAAAGACATGATGAAAAAGATTTAAAAAATCCTGACACCGTTTTTGTTGTCATTTCGTAATAGTAAATTGTAATTTTTTTAACGCAACAAAAAAGATAACAGCTCGCAAGTTTCTCCTGAAAAAATCGAAATTCAATAATTGTATTAAATTCAATGCATGTCGTTTGTTAAATGAAAATGTGACTGAAATATTTCGTGTTATAACTTTTAAAGGAAGAAAGTAATCTAATCCTTCATAAAAATATGCAAATCAACTTCTGAGACTTAGAGAATTTTAAATGTGTGATCATTATCATTAACCATTACTTATTATGAGCTATGTCAAATTTTTGTTTTTAAGTCCAAAAATTTAGAAAAAAAATGGAAGATTTATAATAATTTTTTATACAAGCTCATAAATAATTGTTAAGAAAACAAATTATTGGAAGAAGCTGCCGAATTAATAGAGCCATTTTTCTCCTCTCTTAATTACAACTAACCGATTTTCAACCCACCTTTTTATTTTTTTTTCTGAGGCGCTGCGATTAATTTTCCCGATCCATCATCTCTGCTGTGAAATCTGTAGATTCCCAGCTAACTTTTGATGAACACCTGCGCGTTGATTTGGAAGGAATGTATTTTTCTAATTGCTGATCTGATTTTGTATTTGTGTGTGTCGCGCGCTTAAATGAGCTTAACAAAGAAGGTCTTTTGCAGCATCACGCTGGGCTGCGCGCGGTGATTCACTTGCAGAGGAGCGATCGATAGGCTTAAAACAAGGGCCAACGCCCCATTACCGAGCATGACTTTCTCGAAAATTTTATTCCCCACTTGTCATTAATAACGAGAAGCAAGAATAACATTTGAAATTGTCCCGAAATTCCGCCGCAATGTATTTTAATTACTTCTTCGTCCACTTCATAAATAATTTGAGAAAAAATGTAAAAGAGTTGGAAGAAAAGGTCACGTCGCTCTCGCTCTCAGGTAGAAAAATTCCTGCAGGTCGCTGTGAAATATTAAATGATTTGTTGTCGTTGTTTTTCCTCTCGCGCGCGGTTGGGGAAAATAAAAGTATAAGACGCGCAGAGAGACAAAAATGAGTTATTTTAATTACGGCTGCATGAATCACGACCTGGACTTCTATTATCCCCGTTTATGGTAATCAACGCTCACGGGAAAAAAGAGACAAATAACTATAAAAGAAAACAATAACAATACATTACCAAAAATGACTTTGGGCCCGAATAAAAAATATTCAAAATTTAAAAAAAATATTTTTGATTAATTTAATTTTGATATGTTTGCAGAATTTTTATTTATCAAGAAAAAAAATTAAAAGAAACCTCAGTCAATGGCACTTTATTTTATAATTTCAAAATCATACAACAATTTGTACAAATTTTACAACATTTGACGACAAAAATATCAAATGTCGTTTTTTTTTTAAATAATTAAGTACTTTGGCGCCATAACTTATATTTTGAAAGGTCATTAAATAATATCCTTATCGATTGGTTGCTTGTCTCATTAAATTTTGTGATCAATTAAAAAATGTTTTGCAAAAATTTACAAAATTCTTATATCTTAATTAAAATAAAATTCTAAGAAATTTCCGACATAATTTTAAATCTTTGTCTGAATTACATTGTTCTCTAAAGTGACCAGAACACAAATCACTCCCCCGATTTTCCTTCTTCTCAGCTTCTAAAGTTAATAATTTAGCTTGTGGATGCGAGGGACAAAGCAAAGCGCCAGTCCAAGAAGTGTCTGCAATTTTTCAATTGGCGCAACAAAGCAAGAGTGCATTTCAAACTCAAACTCACTCGAAGTGATAAATTCAAGTTTTTTTTTGCTGCGGAGGAGAAAAGAAAGAGAAGCGGACAATTGACCCGACTGGCTGGCGTCGGTGGTGCGGAGCCCGACAAAGGAGCATATTTATTTTTTGACGACTTTTCGCCCTCTGCACCCTCTTCCAGCTATTCTCGTGCGTGACACTTTTCAAATGGATATTTTTCTACCTGCTCTCTCGAAGATGGAAAAACTTGTACGAATCTCTCTCTCTCTCTCCAACAAAGGCGCGTAACAAGCGCGTCGGATTTAAATAAAGGCAGTCCTAAATCACCTGCGCGCAGACCGACCTACGAACCGACCAAAGCACTAAATAATTTTGGCGGGACCCTCGCCTGCAACACGGGGACAAATTGGCGCTTCTCGCCGCACCCTAGACCTCCATTTGAATAATACCCAAGTACCTCTAATCTCTAATATGCTGACATTAAAACATTATATACCGTGGGAATTTTTGAATCACGTCTCATAAAAAATATTACCAAAAATATTGCTCTATTTTGATTAAATTTGTAATAAGTGCTCTTCCTTGTTTATAAAATATTCTGAATTTAATTTGGGTCACAGAGTTGATTTTAATATAAAATTAATAATTTGGTTGGTAGACAGAAATTATTTAAATTTATGTAAATTATTCAGCTTATACTTCAAATTTGCACCTTTGTCTCAAATTAAAATCAAACTTGATGTTTTTCCAACCCCAGATTGCATTATTTCGTTAATTAAATTGCAAGAAATTAAAGAATTTGATGATAATAATTGAATATATTTATAAATAATTTAATTTAAAGTACAAAAAAGAAAAGATTTATAGCTTTTAAGTTTCCCAATTGTAAATATTAAAAGTCACAAAGTTAGGCTTTATCTTCTTTTGTCCATCTATATTTTTTGTAGAATTCCATCGAGGGTAAAGCACCGCAGAAAGGTGGATTTTCCTTCTTGGTCTTTTCTCTCCCTCTCTGGTTGAGCGGCGCAAATTGAATGCCCCGTGTTTGTGTGATAAATGGGTTTTCGTGGAGCTGCACTGCACCGCACATCACCTGCCACATTTCACGTCGTGGAAAAATGCCTCGATCCTCTGCGGCGCAGAAACAGAAGGAAATAAATATTTCACCTTTTGAAGGTCTCACACCTGTTGCCCCCAAATAATTTTAATGAATTTCCTTTCACGCAAGAATAAAAAAAAAAGATGGAATTCGGCGTTCGCAATCAGAGAAATTCCAACGCACGCGGAGCTGAGATGAATTTGTCAAAATGGATTTTTTTTTCTCGCCGCGCACCGAATCCAATTTAACAAATCGACTTTTTTCCCTCAAAGAGAATTACGAGTCCCATTTTTTTATTCTTTGAAAGTTTCGCCGATGGATTTGTGTCTCTCTGGAAAAATTAATTCTCGCCTCTGCCGAGCGCGATTTATTTCTATACGAGAGAGAGTATCAAATTGTGCTACGTGTTTTCAATCTGACGCTTGACAGGCCGTGAGAGACGTGTGTGTTTCGTTGGTGTGCAGAGCAGCAGCCATTCCCATCCGTCAGAGAGACACAAAAACCTTGACCTTTCGCAGTCCGCGACCCCAAGCGGAAATATTTTAATTAAATTTGACTCGAAGCCGCCACACTCCACTTTAACTTCCATTAGCAACATGAATAAAATACAATTCTATAATTCAAATTAATCGTAAAGAAGATGAAATTAAATCAAATTTGTTACCGCGGAAAAAATATTAAAAGCGTGCATTTATGAAACTGCGACATTTTACAATTCTGACTTTGTGATATACTTTTTCATAGTAATTTGTTTACCAATGTCATAAAAGGAAAATATATTCGTTTCAAGTTTGAAATTAAGTTTACTGAACATGATTTTGAAAGCTCACGAAATTTCCTTATCAATTTGTCTAATCACAGATTGCGCTGTTTTTAATCTACAGAGAAATGCATAAATTAATGTTAATTTTTTTGAACCTTCACATTCTGGAGCTTACATGGGTTTTTGGGCTTAATTTAGGAATGGCAAGCAGTTGTTTTTGTTGTTGCTTATGTGGTGCGGGGATGATTCTCTTGTGCATTTGGAAGCCCTTGGTTGTCAGTACGTGTCAGAGTGAAATCACTCTCGTTTTTCTAATAACGCGTCTGCTCTCTGTTGTTCCAGCTGCGAGCCCGGATTGAGTTACTACCAAAATTCACTCTCACATTATTTTGTCTGCGATGCATGTCTTGTTTTCCATAGCGTAAGTAACTCCTGCACTAATATAACACCGAATTAAATTTTAAACTCAACAAAAGATAAAAATTTATCTAGTTATTTTCGTCTCAATCTTGTTGTTAGTTAGGAAACGGAGAATTATTTATAAGTTATATTGAATTAGTGAATTAATTCCAAAATATTTTTTGTATGATCTGGAATTGAGATGTGGGAAATTATATTTTTGCATCAAAACATATTGGCAATCATCATATTTTGATCACCATGGAATTTTTTTCGGTTTCTAGATATTGAAATGACATTCACACTCTGGAGAGCTTGAATATATTACACGCTCTTTGATTCTAAGCAAAAACCAACCCTTATCAGTTGTGCAGAGAAAGGAAAATTTAATTGGGAAAAGTGAAAAATGGCGGTTTGGACTTAATCGGTGGCGTGCATCTCTGTGTGAAATCGGCGCCGCCATGATGGATTCGCCAATTAATCGTGCGAGCGCGCGGCCATTGTTGCCGGCATTGTCATTTTTTACTGTTGCCCTTGGTGCGTGTTTCGGTTCGGAGGGGAGAGCTAGCCGAGGGAGCCTGCTCTGCGTTTTGTTGTTTAATCAATAAAATAATTTCCTGAGTGGAATGGCTGCTGCTGCTGCTGCATTAGGGCTTCGTCATTGTGCTGCGCGCGCGAGACACGACGAGACCAAAGCCCTGCCAAGCCCGTCGGCGCCACACCGACCCTTTGCGTGCCAACCAGAAACAAACACCAACCAACTCCATTTTTTAAACTAATTCTATATAAATTATTCTGGACAAAATATTTTGATTTCTGTTGTGATAAAATTAAATTAAATTTATGTTCCCCCAAAATGAAAAATTGCTACTATTTTTTTAAGTTTCAACGGCAAAATTTAGTAAAAAAAGTAAAGGACCATTGGAGCGACAGAGGAACAAGAGTTTTAAGAAAGATTAATATTAATAAAATGAGTCATATTTGGAGAAGATCAGAAAAAAACAATGGTTTTTCCTCTTTTTCCTTAATCAAGAGAGAAAATGTAAAAAATTTCAAAAGTTATCGTCAAAGATTTGACCATTTTAGAAAGGTTAGAACACAAAGAAACCGATTGGTGACTAAAGAGGTCAAGGCCACCTCTAAACGTTTTGAGAAAACACAATTCAAGCATTTGCAACCTCTAGATTAAGTTAGACAAAATTTCCGCAACACTCTCTAAAACAAGACTTGAATAAATCCTCTTTTTATTACGGAATTTATTTAATAGGAGACGAAATCAAAACTAAAAAATAACTGTCAATAACGTAAACACGATATAAGTTTGTAAATTTGAAGTAAAAATCCTTGAAATTGTTTCATTTGTGCAATAAATCTAGCCAACTGATTTATTCAAATTCCTCTGAAAAACACGTCGAGGTGAAATATATAGTTTTGTTCACAAAGGTCGCTTACTTGCGCGCGCCGTACCGTAACAATAAGTTTGAGTTCAGTTCTTGAGATGCGTGTGGAATAGCGAGGGTGTCGTCCTCTCTCAGTTTTTGGTTGTTGACTGGAAACGCCGCGCAGTTCAAAGTTCACTCTCAATATGAAAGACTGCCGCCGCCGAAGCACTGCTTTTCGAGTCTTTGTCTCGCACTGGGGGCGGGGGGAGGGGAGGGGGGCCCGGCCCAGGGGCCGCCGAGCGCATCAGAGCCACTCGGCGTCGCGGCCCCCGCGGTACGTGTGCAGCGGGGGCGGAGGGGTCGGGCCGGCCGCCGGTCAGTAGGCGGCCGCGGCGGCCGCCGCCGCAGCAGCCGCCTGGTGGTGGTGGTGGTGCAGGTGGTGGAACTGGTGCGGGTGATGATGGTGGTGGTGGTGGTGGTGCGGATGGTGCATGTGGTGCATCCCCACCGGCGAGTGCTCCGTCGACGGCGGCGTCGGCATTCCGCCCGTACTCTGGCACACATACCTATTAACAACAAAAATTCGCATTACTTGTTATTCAAAACCTCATAATCTTGTTTTAATCGAAAAAGATGAATTAAAAAGGTCCCAGAAAATTGCCATTTTTGGGATTATTTTCAAAATTTTAGAGAAAATTGTTTCAAATATTAAAAACCAATATTTGTGCTCTGATGATGACCTTTATAGAAACTTAAAATCATTTGTTGTGTTGAATATTTTTGGATTTAAAAAAAAAAAAAAAAAAAAAAAAAAAAAAGATAAATTACTCTGTAGATTATTGATTTTAGGTTTTATATTCAGTTTAATTTCAAATAAAAAAATAATAAATATCATAATGATTTTTTTCTTCAAAAATGCAACCAAAACGTAGAATTTTCCATCAGTTTTTTTTTAAAGAATATCATGTATAACCGTGGCAGAAATAATTAAATTTGCATATATGATTTGCAAAGGGAAATTTCAGACTCACCATTCAGAGAGGTTTGTGTGGTGAGGGTTGGTGGTGTGTGAGGCCGAGAGGGAGGTGTTGACGGAGACAGAGGAGGGTACGGAGGCGCCGCTGGCCGGCGTCGACGGGCCGTTGTGGCCTGGCGAGAGGGGCGTGGCCGCGCTGTGGCCGCCGGAACTCGAGGTCGAGTCGTCCGAGTCGTAGCCGCTGCCTGCGCCCAGACCCGGAGGCGGACTCTTCCCGTGCACCTGCGAGTCCAAAAATAAGAAGGAAAAAACGTTAATAAATATTGAATAATAAATAATTCATTAAGCAAGAAGTGCGATTGCAATCGAAAACTGAATTATTCAAAGCATCAGCAACTTGTCCACGTCGATTTGCTGCTGATGGATTAATTACTAAATGATTCACATTCTGATAAAGTTTGAAACTGGTTTAGTTTTCCACGGAATGACGTGATTAGAAATTAAAATTATTTTCAGATTTTAATAACTCATACAATTAACAGAAGAAAAAAATGTGATTAATTATTTCCTTTGAACAAGAAATGGTTCAAAGTTCAAACGAAATAAGATAAATTGGTTTTAAAAATTTCTTTTCGACACAATTAAGAAAAAAAATTATTGTAGAGATTTTATTCAAAATTTCATTAGACTTAAAACAGAATTACAGACTCTAATTAATTTTATTGCATAATTTAGAATTTGTAAATTTGTACCTTCATGTGTTTCCTGAGGGAGCTAGGGTGTGTGTAGGACTTGTCGCAGCCGCGCACCTTGCAGTTGTACGGTTTGTCCGAGGTGTGGACGTGCGAGTGCTTCTTTCTGTCCGAACTGTTGGCAAAGCGCCGGTCGCAACCCTCGAACTCGCACCGGAACGGCTTCTCGCCTGCAAAACACAAACAAACAACCGGTTCTTTTTTTATTTTTTGCTCGAAATTGGCCAAAGCAAAAGGGGTGCATCAGAGAAAGGGGACGTGCTTTTAGGGGATGGCTGCGTTTGGCAGCCGCGCTGGCAATGAAGCCGTCGGGGGGCGATGACAAAGTCAAGTACCCCCCCCCCTCGACCAAACGTAGAGTTGATACTCGTTTTATTAAAATATTTACTCGCTTTATTGGCAACGAATCGTCAGCGCGTCGTAAAAACGCAATAAAAATCGACAGCTCGCGGCGGCAGCAACTCCCCGCGCGACAAGTCAATAAACAAGCGGAAAATTATTCTCCAAGCCACCACAAAAGTTGCAGATCAAAATAATTTTTTATTTTAGAAGGGACGAGAAAAGCTATTTAAGAATTATTATAATAATTGTTTATTTAATATTAATCTTCATTTTTGACATTTTATATATAAACTTTTACGTTTTTCAAACGTTAATTGCAGAGAAAAAAAAATAAAAACAAAAATTGACGCGTATTGTCATAAGGGAAATAGGAATGTCGAGTCTATTATATTTTAACGCACGTCTCGTGTTATAGCCGAACTCAATATAGGAAGGTGCGTTTTATTAAAGTGTCTTCGCCGAGCATGTAGGTATGGTACATGTGTGTGTTATTAAAATATGTTCTTTGTGTGCGACGGCGAGGAGAGATTTCATTAGAGCGAGGCATAGCTAGGGAGGGTCCGATTGTCTTGGCTCTCGTCGTCGTGATGAACCACCACAACACAAAGAGCGCTCTCGGAAAAGAAAGAAGCCATAGACAGACCCTGCGCACAGATGCACATCTCTCTCGAACCATGTGTTCTTATGATGGAAATTGGATTTCACGCTCGGTCCATTTTTCACCCGCGCGCCCCAACCGAAAAAACAGCTGCGCTTTATTAATTATAAAAAGACAGAGCGATCAAACCGATTGATTTCATCACTTCCAACCCTCTTTATAATACATTTATAACCTTTTTAATTTTAATGTATACAAGAATTATGGAAAAACTTGCATATAGCTTGTTTGATTCTTCCTTTTGGTCCCACATTGTTTCAATATTACATCATCTTTTTTAAAACTTATACATCAGATCTCATCTCAAAATTAGTATTTAATTTTTTAATCAGAAAAAATTAAATTACTACATTATAAATTTTTATTCTCCTCAAATGTAAAGAACTTAATGACAGTGTATACACGAATAATTGTAAGAATATTACATATTATTGAATAGATAATTCGGTAATTGAGCGATAATATTTATATTAAATTTAAAATACTGGTTTAATGAAAGCTCAGTTAGTAATATTACTTGAAATAAATAATATTTGTATATTTGCTGAAATTCGTAAATAATTAATAAATTAAGTAATAAAGTTTTGAAATTGAATTTTATTACTTTAATGACGCTTCATTATAAATTTTATCAGTTGTTGGGGAAGCCAAAATATAATTTAATTTTTTAATGTGGGGACTTAAATTTATTTCTTAATTTTTCCCTCATCGCCAAAAACAACATTTTTATAAAACGAATTTTTTTTGTTCTTTTTAAAATTATGTAAACTAAAATCACTAATTTTATCATCGCAGCCTTTATTCTAAAACTTTCATAGTACATAAATTGTGAACGGCAAAAGATTTTGTAAAATAACTAGGTGCAAATTAATCTTATAATTTCTCCTCAATTTTGTTTCCACAATTCCTTATTACAGATTGTTCTCCATTTATTGTTTTTTTAAATCAATGCTGGAATTGACGAGGGGTTTTTAAATAAAAAATAAAATAACAATTCCCTTTTTAATGCTAATATTATTTTACAAATATTGGACGCCCGAACGCCTCCTCTTTTATTTGGTAATAATTTACTTTTGTGTCCGGTAGCTCGTTTTGGTATTTTTGAGAGCTAATCAATCTTCGTGAGCTACTCATGTAAATCAGTTGTCAGACGCGTTAATGAACAAAAAATCTCGCGATCCATCTGAGATTCTTTTGAAAAGACTGGTGGCTGCAGCGATGAGCACGGGAAGAGAGCAATTTAATTACACGTCTGCTGGAGGAGCCGAGCCCGCTCTCATTACCCCGGCGGTGGGCGTGCAGCGGCTGCCGATTGAGAAGAACCAAAACACACACATACACCTAGGGCCTCTTTCCACCGGCCGAAATAACTCGCGCTTCAAGCTTCGCGCATACCGAACCGCAAACTCACTCCAGAAAACTTTGTTAATATATTATACTAAAAAAAGAGATTCCGCCAGTAGAACAAACTGGCCCAATGTGGTTTTCTAATCTATATTCTATTAAACATGATGGGAATGGTGAAAGTTTGATATTTTTAATTCTTCAAATTGATTTCAGTGTGCGATCATCCTTTAAAATTTTATGGAATATAATGAAATTTAATTGAACTTCTCACCGTTATGATAATGAAATAATAAAAATTATATATTTATTTAAACCTTATAGCCTTGCGAGACAATTTGAATAAAGTGTTTGCTTAAGAAAAATCTCATTTTTCTCTTTTATTTTTGTACACATGATTTGTGAAAAATGAACAACTATAATACACAATTTGCAAATTAATTTAAAAGTTTAAAAAAACATTTGTTGAATAAAATATTTGATGTTGTGTAATTAGAATTAGAAAATGAATTTAAAATATTTTTGTGATCTCTGAAATATCTATACAATCTATTGTTTTGTGGATTTTTATAACATTTGGAGAAGACAGGATAAATTAAAAGTGAAATAACAGAGCTCTGAATACAGCAATAACCAGCTGTCTCCTATTTTCTACAATGTGATGGTCGATGGAACAAAATTTATTGTTAGAGCAAAAATAAAATAATGAAAATAATAATAATTTCAGTTACAGTAAATTTTTTTTAATCTTTAAGCTTCGCAGCATTAAAATTATTATTTCTTTATAAGAGGATGATTTCAACAAGAGATAGTTAAAAAATTTCTATCGGAAAAAGTAATTTTTCAATTTATATGTGTTTGCTGAACAAATATGTCAAAAGTACTTAAAACAAATTGTCGCGCGTTAAAAAGATCTCCTGCAGTCTAAGAAAACAAAACATTATTTGTCCTTCTCGTTTCTCTTCTTTGAGACAAATCACGTGCTGCAGTGAATTTGGGTGGCATTTTCGAGTTTTGGGTGTCGTTAAATGGGCCGGTCGTAAATTCGAGAGAGTGTGTTGTTGTTTGCACTGTAATTGAAGACAATGATTATTTTATTGACGCGTCTCGCCGCGGGGGACGACGCGCGTTTTCTAAGTTGCGTGGGCAGCTGCCACCCTCCTTTGTCATCCCCCTCGACCACCCATCGCAACCACCGAAATTTACGACTTCCACAAAGTCTAACTGCACATTTTCTCTTAAAAAAGTCCCAGCATATTCAAATGCGCGCGACCTTCCGTGCGCTCTTTTGATTGATTTTCGACCCTGTCACAACAAAGCCCCGCGCTTTAAACATAAGAAAACTTTTCCCTCAATAGACGAAAGGGACAATGTCCAGAGCAGCTCTTTTTTGACTGCTCATTTTTTACTTTGCTTTTTAATGGTTCGGAAATAATTCGGAGTGAAAATATGAAAGTCACCGGTTTGGAAATTTGTCATTTGCTGCCATACATGGCGATTGACCAACGGGATTTCTATTTTCTCGTGCCAGATCAGCACAAAAATAAGGGAAGAGAAATCCTGCGCGTGACAATGATGAAAAGAAGGTCTGCTGCTTTTCAATATTAAATTTAAAACCTTGGCATATATTAAAATGTCTTTCAATTAGATTCAATTTATAAATCATAAATTTATTATTTATATTATGTATTCATATCTTATATTCAGGGATTACAAAAACAATGATTATAATAGGAAAAACTTTGGACTAAAAAAATGTGCAGGTTTTCAAAAAAACACGAAATTCACAAATTTTATGCATGCTACCAATTACAAAACAAAAATAAATGTCTCTTAAAATTAAAAAAAAAAATTACCAGGTCATTAATAATTACAGATTAACGACAGATAAGAAGAAAAGTTTATTTAAGAGCGTTTTAAGTTTTACTATAAATTTGACAGTTCATGAGATTCGAATTAAAATTCAATCCACTTTATATTTCCAGTCCTTGAATTAAAAAGCAATTTCAAATCAGAAATATGATCTTTCTCGTCTTGTCTTTTACAAAAAAATCAAATAATTATTTGTACGCAGGTCTGGCAGGTCAATTTTCCCTTTGGAGCGGAGGGACAAATTTAATATCTGCAGTGTGTGCGGATTAAAACCAAGTTTATGGTCGCACACACATTTCTCATATGCGCGTTTTTTTTTTATAATTTAGAGAAGAGTCGCGCGAGCAAGCGAGCGAACGAACGAACGAAAAATGAATTTACGGCCGCGCCGCTCAATAAGTTTTATTTTACTATCAACCTTGGGCACTTCTTGTTCGTGAATAAAAATATAAAATAATCCGGTGGTGGTGACACTGAGCCGTAAAACCATAATCGTTCTTTCCGCGAAAATTAATAAAAAGAGCACTCGACTGCGAATGCCGTTTATTATTTTCCTGCTCCACGGACAATCGACTTTACAGCTTTCCCCCGAGCCATGCAGGGGATGAAAAAGACCACCCTTACTTTATGGCTTTCCTCCACCGGCGCATTCAAATGCGCGCAGACAAATGGCTTTATTGCCTCTCTGGACACACATATAACTTTTGTCAAAAAACACCCATTCTATTTTATTCTGCAGGACGTGTTCGAATAGAGAAAAAGAGTAAAAAACGGAAACGTTTTCCCTCAGTGAACACACACACATAAAGAATACAGACGGAGTTTATTGTTATTCAAAGTAAGAATGGTCAGCGCATAAAAAATGAGAAGAAAAAGCAAGGAACTTCTTCAAGGTTGAGGCCTCTTTCAAAAATCAAGTCATGATGAAAAAAAAAGTATTGAACAGCAAAATGA